TTTTTTTTTTTTTTAAATACATAATTTTTTATTTTGATCTTTATAATTTTTTTTCAACTCTCAAAATATGGAATTATTGTCTCCAGTCTTCAATATCATGTAACATAAATACTTATGTGTTTAATTGAAAGTTAAATGATCATCTCAAGTAATATTTATTAGTGTTTGTAATATCATGTTAACACATGATATTTCTAAATGAATTTTTATAAATGTCTAAAAAGAATGTTATTTATTTCCTTTAAAATAATCGTTATGTCTAAGAGATAGAATATAGTTATTTTAGATTTTAAAGTGATGAAAATGAAAAATATTTTATGAGAACTAAAACCAACCATAATTCATTTTACATGACTAAAAAAAATGTTTTCAAATTTTAAAGATATAAAAATAAAAATAACTCTCTAAGTGCCAAATTAAAACTTATGTTGATAATGGCTGATTTGAATGATATTCAATTAGTTTTCTTAAGCAAGAGTTTAGAGTTTGAGTTTTGTAAATGAAAAAAAATTTAATTAGAAGGGGAAAAAATCATTCTTAGTAGGAACTAAATTTTTGATGAAGATTAATCATTAACAAAAATTAATAGATATTTCATACTAATAAAATAGTTAAACAATTAAAATTCATATTTACAAAAATTGAATATACAATTAAGATAATTAAATTTTATAAGATTCAACTCCAACCATTATTATAATTAAAACGTTTAAATTAATGTCAACCATAAATTTTCATTAAAGTTTATGCCATTTACTTTTCTTTTGACGAGATACTTTTAATGTGTTTTGATGCTAGATAATAAAGATAGAAATATGTCAACCTTTAAATAAAGGACTTATGACTTGTCTTAATCTAAAAGATTATAAAAGTTAATAAATTATTTTTAAAGGACTTATGTCAACCTTTTAAAAATTAATTATTTGAAAAAATTAAACTTACGCTTCTAAAAAAGTTTGTTAGGTCCGATAAAATAACTTATTTATTAATATGATATAATAAAAAAAAATATTTTTATTACTTATTAATAATATAAATAAATTTTTAAAAACTTAAATTATCAATAATTTTTTTTGTATTTCTACTACACTTAAATATTTTGTATTTCTTATTCATGTGAAATAAAATAAAATAAAAATAGTAGCCACATCTTTGTTTGCTTTTTTCTTTTATTTTCATATTTGATTATTTAGAATATTTAAAATATTTAAAGATGATCATTTTTTATCATACTTATATGTGAGTGTACATTAGTGTACATAAATTGTTTCTTTTAAATTAACTTTAATTTATTTTTATTTTAAATACTAAATTTTAATAATAATAAAGTAAATGAAAAAAACTCATACATAATTAAAAGTAAAGTTATTAACTTATTTAAAATTAAATTTATTAACTTATTTAATAGAGAATGATTCAAACGATACCGGTATAATTTTTACTAAGTATTACATCGCTTAACAATTTTATATTAAATATGAATTTTGTAAATTCAACTGTTAGATTTAAAGTTCTTATATTCCAAGATAATCAAAATGTTTATATTTTATTATATTTTAAAATATATATATATTATGTCAATTTAGTTTTATAAGAATGTAGTATCAAATTATTTTAAATTAATATAAAATTTTGTATGTATGATCTAAAAGTAAATAATTTAATTTTCAATCTAACGATTAGATTTATAAAATTCACATTTAATATAAAGTTATTGAACAATATAATATTCGATAAAAATTACATTAATATCGTTTAAACCTTCCTCTATTTAATATTATTATATAAAATGAATAAATAAATTTATAATGAATAATAAACCTAATTTAATTTTATAATACAGACATGATTTATATATTTAAAATTTGACTTGACTTCCCTTCCTAAACTACTACCTCCTTGTGTTACTTTTTATTTTATCTAATTCTGCTCTGTTTCTCTACCTTATTCAACTCTTCATGAAGCTTATATTTCTCATAAGAATTCATAATTCATACTTCCTCATAAGAAATCATAATTTAACTTAACTTATCAAATTTGTTAAAAATATCAATTATTATCACAAATAACTTTTTCTCAAAAGAAAAAGAAAGATCACTATCGTGAATATTAATCCAATGAACTTTTCATACATGTCAAGAAAATCTGAAAAAAAGAAGTTTAACCATTTTAAATGTTTGGTACTCAAAATTAATATTTATATTTAAATATCTTATTGATTTATAAATATTATTATAAATAATTTAACCAATTTTTACAAATAATCACCAAATATAATGGTTGATATCACAATTTTTAACTAAAAAAAAGCATCACAATTTTAATCGCTTCATAATTTTGTGGATATAATATTTCATAAAATTAACATAAAAATTCAGAGTAAAAGAAGTGGACAAAAGAGGAAACAAACACAAACGCGTGACTATGAACCATTGTTTTGATATATTGACAAAAGTATAAATGATGAGTTTTTCCACCGATAAGTAATATAATTTATAAGACAATTAAATTTTGAACACTATTAGTGAAGGTAAATCTACGGTCCAAGTCCAAATCAATACTAAAAAAAAATAATAAAAGAAGAAAGAGAGGGGAAAAAAAGGACTACAAAGTATCATTTTCCTCTGACTTCTGAGAAACTTCTGGGAATCGGTCCATACGGTTAAACGACGCACGTGACACTGCCACGTGTGTCTCCGCGTGCTCGGTCTCAGATCCCCTACACCATCACGTTTCTAATCTAAAATGCTCCTTTGCCTAACCGTCACCGTGTGTCAGTTACACACCCCCTGATTGGTCTATAGTGACTCAACCATGGAGTCTCCTGATTATCACAATGATTCTGACTATCCAACGGTTCTGATTTCACATCTGCAGGACCTAGCTGCGGATCCGGGTTATGCAGCCGCAGCAGCGTATCTTCCTCTCCTTTTCCACCGCTTCCTCCTCCCTCCCTCGCTCGCTTTGCTCCAATCGCCACGCCAAACAGCTTCGCATTCATCTCCTCCGGTGCCGTTTCCGCCGCATCATCGCCGGAGCTCCGTTTCACCGGCATCAACTCCAGCGGCTTCACCGCCGTCATGCCGGACTCTCTGCTCCCCTGTGCACCACCGACACCGTTTTCCGTTTGGTAACTCCCGCTGCCGTTGTTAGCGTTTCCGTTACCGGTGACGCTGACATAATTAGACATGAGAGAGTATATATTGTTGCAGAGCGATCTCATCTCCGCGAGCTCTTTCGTCAGTTGAACGTTCTCTTTCCTCAGCCTCTCGTTCTCGTCGAGAAGTTCCGCCGGTGCTCGCGACGGAGATGAATTCGACGATATCACCTGCTCCTCGCCGGAGTTTGACGGCGAGATGATCGGTATCGCAGTCAAAGGCATCGGCGCGGGAACCGTGACCGTTGCGGTTGGCGTTGCTACCGGCGACGTCGCCGGCCCCGGTGACGAGATCTTCCGCCGCTGAATCTCGCAGAGAAGCCGCTTCTCGCCGCGGCGGAAACACTCGTTCGAGAATTCCCACCGGTCAGGTACAACTTTCCTGAATCCCTGTACATAAAGCAAAATCGAAAATAAATTTCAAAAATAAAATTAAAACAAAAAAAAATAACAACAAAATAGAAAGATTGAGAGAGATGAATTGAATTACGTAAGTGTTGAGTTGGCGGACGAAGCTGGAGAAATTGTTATGCTTAAAATATTTAGGAAGCAAGTCTCTGGCAAAGACGGTAGGGTTCCAAACGATGAAGGTGGATCCGTCTTCGTTCCATGAGATGACATCGTCGATGGATTGATCGTCGACGAGTTGGTAGGTTTTGGTTAGGAACGGCGTGGGGATGGATCTCTGAGAGTCCGTCACCGCGACAGAAGAGGTAGTGGTGGAGTCAAGGTTGTGTTCCACCGTGGGCGGCGGGGCCATGAGAGAGGTGGTTGGCGTTTGGGGAAGATTGTTGTTGTGTTGGTTCTAGAAGGTTCCCTTGAAAATATAAGGATGAGGGAGAGAGTTATGAGAGAAAAATAGAAAGGAAGGGGCGAGAAGGTACTGCGTTACGTCTTATGTCGAGAAAGTTCCGTGTGAATGAGGGATTTGTTTTGTTTTGTTTATTAATAACCGCATTTGTTTGCATGTTAAATCTTTGATGATGGAAGTGAAACTCTTACAGCGGGGTGGTAAAGATAGCTTCGTGAATCGTAATCCAAGAAACTTCTATACTTTTTTTTTATATTATTATTAAAAACAGAAAAAGATCATTCTTGAAATTATCTTCTTTTTTTTAAATAAGATAATAAAGTTGGGTTGTTAATCTTTCTTATTTTGATAATAACAAGATTGAGATGATTTTCTTATAGAACTTTTTATTTTTGGAAATTGGATGAAAATATTAAAACTCAAGAAAATACTGAGTTTAATAAATTTTCACATAATTTATTAATTACTAAGTTTAAAAAAATAAATTCATATCAGTGATGATTGTCTTTAAGAAAAAAAAATTATCTCTCTCGTTGTTTTGTGAGTTTACTTCTCCGGGTGTAATCTCTCTTTCCACTAAAAATTAATAACTAATTGTGCAAAAGTTATATATAGTAATTTATCTCTATTTTATCATTATCACGTGTCATCAGAATTGTGCTCAAATATTTCAGTCACCTACTGGAAAAAAAAATTATCTACCAAATGAAAATATCATTATTTTCTATTATAATGAATTTAAAGATATTTTTTTTAAGAAAAAGCCTTCAAGGAGTCACGATATACTTTTTTTCAGCTGGAGCCACAATATCAAGAATTGATAATTGGAAATAAAAAGAAATATATATAAAAAAAAAACCTTTTAACTTTGTTGTGGGATGATTTTGAAAAGAGAGAGATGCAGCCTTAAAAAACTGAAAACCAAATAATTGTTAATTTTTTAGTTGAAAAGAGAAAAAATATGGGTCGTAATTCTATAAAATAAATGGGAGAAATACATTTTTTTTATTAAAAATTATCATTACTAATATACTAGTCAAAATTAAATGAAAGCAAATAATTAATTATATTTTACCTATGTAACATTCGCTCTTTTTACGATCACTGTAGAAAGTGATGTGATGATGTAATGTCCTGTTAGACCATACAAGTATTTTCAACTCAAAACTTACATACTCATAATTGCAGTTGAAATATCTATCTTTATAATTAATTTGTGTTACGGATAATGTGTAATAATATTAAATTTTAAGTTAAATTATATTTTTAATCTTTGTATTATAATTTATCTGTAAATTTGATTTTTTATTTAAAAGTAAAGATATTTAATTTTTTAATTTTAAAAAAATATAAAATTTTAATCTTTCTATTCAAATTAACATTTATTAATCAATAAATTTTAATATCTATTCATACTTATGTAATATAATATTTAATAACATAATATTTAAAAATAAAAAATATAAATAAAGTTTTATTAATAAAATAAATATTGATCATTCATAAAAATAGATAAATATGAAAAAAATTTATATATTATTTTTAATTTTTATCTTTATATATTACATTATTAAATATTATATCACTTAAATATGACAAATTATTTATAGAAAACTGATTTATTCTCCGAAAATTTGTTTAAAGTATATTCCAACATGATATATCAGTTAATAATTTAAATATAATAAAAATTTTACAGTGTATTCGAAGAATATTTTGATTGTGTTTTTTAGAGGATGTAGAAGATAATGTCAAAACTTAATGATAACAAACACTAAATTGTTGAAAAAATTAAAATTTTGTATTTTTAAAAATAGAAATTAAATATCTTTATTTTAAAATAAAAAACTAAAACACATATCGAGAAAAATAAATAAATCAAAAATATAATTTAACCTAAATTTTATAACTTCTACATATTGGAATTGAGGTGACTTCAAGCACCAGGCCAGGGCTAACTTACCTTTTTTCTACTAAGCTGGCGTACATGGAGATACATGGTAACCAAACCAAGGGAGTGTTGATCCAATTTTTTTTTTTTTGGGGGTTGGAATAATCCAAAACAAATTAAAATGTTCTATGGAGGATTGCTCATTATAGTCTTCTGAAAAATACAAATCATTGTAGACGTGGTTTCTAGTGAGGATGAGGATGTTTCAATCATTTTGGGACGCTTGTTCTGCATACTCCATACGTCCTAATAGATGTATCTTGGAGCAAGTTGAAAGTGAGACTCGATGATGAGAAGTTCACCTTCTAAGTCTTCAACTCCTTCAGAAGACAAACTCCCTCTACATAGTGTGAGAAGTTGGAAGTGGTGAACACAACAACAAATTCACAAAAGAGAAATTCATAGAGTTTTAATGTAGTGGAAAAGGTCCTCACTCTATTCAAATATTAAAACCTTCAAATTGTTGAATGTCATAATTAAGTTAATAATAGTTTGAATTCAGTCTTTTAAGTTTGATATATGATATTTGTTCATTATGTGATAAAGTATATTCACCTTTAAGTGTGTTTTATATGCAACGAATAAAATGAAAATGAGATGGAAAAAATGTGTTTTGGACGTTCTTATTTATAGGTAAAATTAGAGTAATTCTTTAAGTTGTACTTGTTGATATGCACAACCATGCTTCATAGGAAGCACCCCTTGCTTGAAGGTCCGTGGATAGCAACATGGGTGTGTTTTTAGTAAAATACAATTGTGCATATTATAGCAAGTATGATCGTATATAACAACATGGACTTCCAATCCTTTAACTAGGGTATGGGTTCATTCTAGCTTAGTCATGCATTAGGTAAATACAATTGTGAATATTATTTTCACTCATTCGGCCTCTAATTATATTGATTCTCTCTTCTACATTTTTTCACCTATTTGCTACATGTTTAACCAAATAAAATGAAGGGGGTTGTATTGAATTAGGATTTTAAAGAACTTTTTTAGTTGACAAAAGTCTTGTGGATTTTAAAAGACTTTGCAAAATCTTCATGACTTTTAAAATTTTGTAAGATTTCGCAAGACTTTCAATCAGGATTTTAATGGATTCTACAAGACTTTTAAGTTAGGATTTTAATGGATTCTGCGGGACTTCGTGAACTTTGCAAATTTTTTTAGATTTTTGACATACGACAAGAGTTCAAGATTTTTTTTCATACATTCAAATTTAAAAAGAGTCAAAGACAAAAATAATAAATAAAAAATAACAATGTCTAGATAAATAATAATAATAATAATAATTCTCTATACTATCATGTCCTTCTAAATAGCATTCACTCACATATCCAAAGTTATACTAGTCCTCTAAGCACTAACATCTTTTCTCTCTTACTCTTGAATTTTAATAATAGGGTCAAAATTATGATTTTCATTAACCAGTAATGTTGAAGATGAAGGTTCATCCACCACTCCAATTGAAAACTCATCAGAATGTCATTCTTTACGAAGAAAGTTATGTAGTATTGCAGATTCTAAAAATTATTTTAAACATTTCAATTTTTTTTATAATTTTTTATTTAAAATATTTTATTTATAAATGGTTAAAAAAAATAGTGAAACAACTTCCCTACTCTCTTATAACTAAATATGTTCCTTCATTTTATAATGGTAATGAAGTAGAAATTTACAAACATCAATTAGGAGAAAAAAAATATGAAATTTGTTACAGGTACAAAATAATTTTTTTAATTTTTAATTACTTTCAATTATTCTCTCGTGAAGAAATATTTTTAGCATTGAATTTTAAGTTATTGCAATATCTTATGTTAATTTTCTTTTTTAAAATATAAAAAATCTTAATTTCACAATATAAAAATTTAAAAAATAAAAAAATTCATAGTAAAACAAAGAAATAAAATAATTGTTGAGTCATTGTAACGGCTCGCTATAGTCCCTACGCTTAGAGGAATTGTACTAGCTACACAGATAGACAGAAAAGATATTAAAATCAGTTAACTCATACATACATGTAGTTAAAAATATAATAATAACTATGTTTCTATGAACAAAATATAACACCAAATATGTACAGTCATCCCAAAGATAATATCAGTCAAGCATAGACAAAATAGCTACCCAAGTGGTAAATCTGACACGAAGACAAACTCCTCGTCTCGTAGCGGTCACAAAAACCATCTCCAACCTAACCATGATCTGCTCTCATACATAGTATGATCATTACAGTCCATCCACATGGAAACAGAAGGATAAACTAGAGTTCAATAAACAACCATACAAGTATAGAACAATAGTTTGTACTACTCATTCATCCAGTCATCATCACAACACAACCACACAATTTATCATAATAGCTCAACTATTAGCTCATTCATACAACTTTATAGGCAATTTAAATGCAACAACACATGCAACATCAACTAATGCGTCGTCACACATATACAACTAGAAGATCTCCAACAACTGAGGTTGAGTAGTCTAGGTGGCATAAACCCTACCGAATCCCTAGGTCAGGTATAGGGCATTGTTAGGAACTCTGAAGAGAACCAGGTATAGACAACAATAGGCGATTTCTCAGGTGTGTCATTCAGACTCGGAGGTCCAGTACTACTGTCAAGGTAGAAAGGTTTGGGTATGGGCCTACCACGGCCTTGGCTTGCATCACCAATCCACATATGGAGTTAGTCCACCCACTGCCCTTCAAGTACCACACACCCTTTAATACCTAGTCAAAGACTACATCTCTAACTAGATACCTTACTCAAATCGGTCATTCAACCATGACATGGATCGACTACTTCCATGTCGCCCACACAGTACTAAGGGATTCAACTTTAAAAACAACTTCCAACTTATCTCCTTAGTACTATGTATCTCAACATAGGATATATATCTTAGCCATATATCCCAACTTGTCAACTTCACAACAATAGGCATCTTTAACAACTTTACAACAATAGTCATCTTTAACAATTTTAAGCAACATAATAACATCTTGAATAAACAACTTGAGTAACTATAGTCAACACATAACAACTTTACAACAATAGACTACTTCAACTTATACATCTCGACTTATTCATATTTCCACAATAACATGTAAATAATTTAGTCAACAACTACTCAACTCATCTTCATCAGGAAACTTAACAACTTAACCAAATCATTAAGCATACTCACGCCTGGCCTAAATCCAACCCGAGAGCTCTAAGCTCTTT